ACAATTTTATCTTTTGATTTTTTTTATTTTTTTTTAAATCTAAAAAGTTGGTAAAATTTCCTTTGTTTTCCTTCATGTCAAAAAATTAGTGTTTCTTTCCTGGCAACTACTAATAGAATGTTGTTTAGTTAAATTTCAGATATGCCTGGAATATAATGTCCAATTAAATTTGCCGTTTTGCTCTTTGAAAATGTCATTCCATTATTTCGGTGTTATAAGATGAGCCTCCCCTGTTCCTCTAGTATAAATCATTCTCTTGGGTACTTTTGTCTTGCCTTATGATGACTGTCTGTCTTCTGTAATTGAATGCAATTGCACAGATGAACATTATGTCGAAACATTATGTAAGTGGACGTTCTTCTTTATAGATCTGGAAAAATTATGATTATGTTCCCTTCCTGGTAGTAGAAAGACATTGTAATTCTGAATTATTACATTTCTAATACAGGAGATTCTGCATGCCTTCATATTACTGTTGTCTTATCTTCAGATTGCACATAGGTTGTCAATCTGAAATACCCCTCATTTCAGCTTCTTGGATTGATAATTCATAGGTCACTGATCAGCAGATCTGGGGCTACATTTGTTAGCGTTCACCTTTTAAAATGTGCTTCACCCCTCCCAGTGAAGAGAAGAACATGGTTTTTAGCACAGGCAGAGACTCTGGTCTACAAGACACATCTCTGCTTTAAATTTAATGTCGACAAATGCATTTAAACTTAATTTGTAAAAATGCATTTGTTGTTGAGCCTTCCTGTTCTGCGTAGGTTATATTACAAGCATTACATACTGCTTTGTTAGATCAGACACAGCAGCTAGGTTTGCCTTTCCTAATACTACTTTAATGCATTCACTCCAAACTGTTCCAGTTTCTACGTTCTGTATCAACCCTTTTCCCCATAGCAACAAATCACAGCATCCATTTCGCACACATGATTTAATTGCACACAAATTATGTCCCATAGGAAAAGTTCTAGTTAATGATACATACTTGATATGCTAGTTTGTTTTTTCCATAACCTTTTGCAATATCTAACATGCTTTGTAATGGATTTGTACTTCTTTTTTTAATTTATGGCATTTTATAGCAACAATTGATGGTTCCTTTGTCTGTCTAAACTATCCAGAATCCAGTTCACTTCTACTGTAATGGATAAAATGTACAACTGAACCAAAACATTCCGTGCTGCGAGTTTACTGTCTTTCTGTTAAAATATGCCAAACTCTACCCTTGTTGTGTAGAATATGGGGATATTTTTACATGTATTTACAAAAATGTCAGAAACACTCCAAAGACCTGAAAAAAAAATCTTTAAAATCAGGCCTTTCAGGGCTAATTTGATTTGAAAAATCTGTGCTGACTAGAAGTATTTAACTACTTTCCATCAGTACAGAAATGAAGGTCAGTTAATTTTTTTTTGTATTGGTAGGTGTGAAGCGGATTAATTCTAGGGAAAGCAAGCATGTCAAGGTATAAGTGGTAATGTGCTACAGTGCAGGGCTTTTTCCTTGAAACTTTGAGGCATGTTTATTACTTAACTGGCCAGATATCTTCTACTTGTTTTCATTTCCTTATTAGGAGAGGATTAAATGACTTGCATTTAAGAGGGGAAAAAGATTTTTAGGGAAAACAAATCATGTTGCATGTATAGGTGGAATTGGGTATGGTGCAGTATTTTCTTGCAGCTTTAAGGTACTTACAGTTTCAAGCCTCCAAATATTCATTAAACAAAACCAGCGCATAAAAGTTTCCAATATAAGATTGTCTTTTGGAGACATCTCTCAACAAATCTTGTTTCTATTAAATTAGTATTTACTTAGTTTAAAATGAAGTAGCTTCAGGAATGTTGCTTGTCAAAATTATGTTCATGAAATAAAAATACAAAATCTTTTTTCTTTTTTTTTTAAACATTTTTAGGCTGCTAATTAACATTTCTCTGAGACCTACAAGCATGACTAACAGCATTATTTTGTTAGTTGAAGATTGACAGGTTTATTTCCTAGATCAAAGAATTATAGAAAAAGTAGGGCTTCAAGGGACCTTCTCTGGTCATCCAGCCCAACCTCCTGCCCAAGTCAGGATCATCGCTATCCTAACCATCCCATACAAACTTTTGTCTAACCCAGGGGTATCAAATATCCAACCTGCAGAGCCTCACAGTTTGACTCCTGGTGCTGCCCTGTTGACCCACATGCTCTGGCTGGCTCTGTGGTGCCTGTTGGGGTCAGCATCCTGTGCTGTGGTGCTTGCTGCACTCGCTGGATCAGGCATGGTTGGTGGGAGGGTTGTGGGCCTGATCTGTCTTATGGATTGGCCCCACACCACTCATCTGGTCTACAGGGCCAGATGAGTTTGGCACTTCTGGTCTAACCTATTGCTAAAACTACAGAATCAACCCTGTCGTACAACTACAAGGCACAGATAAAGCAGGGGGCAACACAGATAAATAATACGGTAAGAGCATACATAGTGCAATCCAAAGTGTTAATTCTAATAGACAATGGCCATGGCTAACACAAGTATACAGTTCCCCTGAGATCAAGATCCTTGATACAGGTAGCTGGAGGTAACTTCCTTGGGAAAACTGAATGCAAATGAATGGCTGTGAACAGGAAGAAATTATCCTGGATTAGAACTGGGGTAAAATTTCCAGGATTAAGGCAGTTTTACCTTGGTTCAAGGGGTTGTATTATGTGGCTGTTAACTTTTTCTTCTTGGGGCACCTGGTATCCTATGATGTCCTAAATTTTGTGTATCCATGGCCTAATGATGTGCATGTAAAGGGGATTATTTAAACTGCGGTGGAGACATTCATTCAAAATTAGGAGCTTTTATGAGAGAGAGGGATCCAGAGCTATTAGACCAACTGATTCTAGTCTATCCATTCAGTGATTTTATGCAGTTGAATTAATTTACTTGGAAGGGTAATTCCAATTAATATTCCTGATGACTTTCTGTGTAAAGATAGTCTATAGATGTAGAATGTCCACGATCTTCAAGAGCCTGTGGGGTTCAGCTTGTGCCATAATAAACTTGCCTGACTTTCAGGAGGCTGTGCACTCAGCATTCTGACAAAAATGCCTGTTATTGTCTCTTAAATTTGGCACCCAAAATAATTGATGGGTTTTGGAAGTCTTAGCTAGTACATTTTGAAAACTTTACTTTTAAGTGGCATATGTGTTGCTTTCACCTGCTTCATTCCTGGGAATATTCTTATGAAGTGTATTTTTTATATACAGTAAGTTATGTCGCTTTCTTAAATCGAATTAGCTGAAGTAGAATGATGATATTTCACACTATCTTTTCCTTCTGTCTTCTCTTACATCAGTCCACTGGGACACACAAGAAAAAAGTTACCTTGCTTCAATGTAAGGCAGTTTTTCTTTTCATTTTAGCATGAAGTCTTGCAGGGCATTTTGCTGGGGTATCTTGTGTCATCTATATCTTATTTCCACACTATCATACTTACTCTTATCTTATTGAATATAAGAATTTGACAAGTTCAGAATGTTTCTCTTACATTTTTCCATTTTGTCTTAAATCTATGTAGCAATATATGCTTGTTGTTATTCTTAATCCTTTTCAATAGTTGATTTCAGAATTGCTTTAAGTATTGTGGCTTTAATGTGTTGTATGACCTAGTAAAAAGCGCTTATGAAGGCTGTCTTCAAATAATAAATTATTTAAGTCATTTGTTCCCAGACTATGGCTCCTGAGGCCCTGCTAAGTGGTCTGCAGGTTGCACTGCCTCCCATAGCTTTTCAATGCTAGTTTGATATGGATATTTCATCTGCAAATATGCTGAGGGCTAACTGGTCCACTCATCCTTTTGTAATGTGCAAAGTGTTAGTCCTTTCATTAGGAGATTTTAAAACAGTTGCATGTAATGATAGTTTCAAATGCATCTTTAAAAATGAATGATGTCAGGTTTGATATTAATCAAGTTAAGAAATATAGGCTAATTGTGGAGTTCTGTTCTGCTTTCATGATCCCCACGGCTGGCTGCTGAAAGGGCAGGGGGGTATTTGTATTTTTAGTGGGAGCGTTGGAAAGAAGGTGGTATTTGTATTTTTAGTGGGAGCGTTGGAAAGAAGGATTTTGACTAGTCAATCATCTTGATGGAAAGAGGCTTAGTTACTATTCCCTGGAGTTGTATGGTTGTGGAAATATGTTGGCGCATCTCTGTTCCCAATCCCATTCCCACGTATTCTTTTAAAGGAGCTGCAATCAACTGGGAGAGAATACTTCACTGTAGAGCTGACAGATTTGCAAGCCCAGCATAAGAGACGGTAGCATAACTAAAGGAGGGTGGTAACTGGGGCAGCAGTCCTAGGCACCTAGGTGGGGCGGGGAGAGGGGATAAGCAGAAAAATAACAGCTGCTGCCTCAGCAGGGCAGCCCTGTTGGCAGCAGGAGCAGCTGGCAGTTATTGCTGTCCTGGGCTCCCAGTGCTCCTCTTGCACCTCTGATGAGGGATATGGTGGGCTAGGGGAGGAGGGATTGTGCCTTTTGTGCTTTATAGCCTGGGGACTTGGGGCAGCAATACACGGTCAGCTGTAAGGGGTAGGTACAGCTTATAGGTACAGCCCTGTTGCTGATTTTTAACTTGTGCCAGAGATCGTTTTAGTCTGTGCAGCTTTCTATAGAATCCAGGATATGCAAATCGGATCTAAAGAAGATGCAGAATAGATGCAGTTGTTTTTGCTCATGCAAGTGTTTTAATATAAACTTTTGAAAGAGAAAACATCAAGAACTTCTGATAGAGTGCATCTTGCAGTTGTACAGTGTAGACAGCCATACCTGACTCTATTATTTATCATTGTCACTTTAAATGTAAAAATATATGTGTATGAAGTTTGTTTTCTTTGTTTTGGAGGTTTTTTGTTTGTTTTTTTAGGGAGGAGTTTTTAAATTTAAAACATTTTAATTCTCAGATTTATGAGCTTGTTATTACTTTACTTATGCTGTTTGGTTGACTGTTTGTACTTCTTCATTACAGGATGTATGACAACATGTCCACAATGGTGTATCTAAAAGAAGAGAAGTTGGAGAAGCTTACCCAAGATGAAATTATTGCTAAGACAAAGCAAGTGATTCAGGGACTGGAGGCACTGAAGAATGAACACAATTCAATTTTACAGAGCTTACTTGAGACACTGAAATGTTTGAAGAAAGATGACGAAACTAATCTGGTTGAAGAAAAATCAAACATGATTCGAAAGTCACTAGAAATGTTGGAACTTGGACTTAGTGAAGCACAGGTAAAATAGGAGCAAGAGTAACCCATTTCAAACCGTGACTGCAGTTAAAAACAAAACAAAAAAAAAAACCCCAAAACCCACAAACTCATTTCTTTTGGGGGTCTCAGAAATGCAGAGCAAAGCATCCAAAAACACTTTTTAAAGACTTGCATACAATAAAAAATAGCAGCATCTGTTTCTGCAGAGGAGATATTTAAATATTATCAGGCCTTGTAGGGAAGGGGATGGGTGAAACTAGAAAGAGAGTCTGGCTGTTTTATTGGATTCTGAAATTAACCATAAATGGGGAGTAAAAATCTTGATCCTACTAGAATAAACATCAAAACTCCATTGACTTCAGTGTGGGATAGGCTTTTCCATGCCACTTGTCATGTAGTATCTGAGTGCCTTGTTTTTGAAAGCATAATTAATATCGGGGTGGATAAAAATCAGCTTTTAAAAAAAATCAAAATAGATTTTTTTTAATTTAAATTGGATATTTTTTATTTAATTGTATTTTTATTTTTTTATCAAGATGCTTTAAAAATAAGGCTATATAAAGCTAGTTTTGTTTTAAGATCTGTTAAAGCTCAAATGTATCATCATGGAAAAAGGGTTATAACTTCTAATTATATATATTTTTGGGACAATATATTCATGTAACCTTTTTAGATAAATTTTATAAATAGGTCACAACAGGCCATGGACTATATTAGGGGCCCAATCTTATGGGGTTCCCAGATGCTCCTCTACAGATTAGTAAAGATTCAAGAAAACTGCTTTACCCAGTGGGATTCAGTGCTGAGTCTAGAAGATCCCATTAAGCATCTCTGTGATGCTTAGTTTCAGTTCTCAAACTGTGGATTTGTGTCTCCAGAGATAACATCCTTGCTAACAGCAGTATATGGAGACGAGAGATAAGAGACCTGATTGCCTACCCACCAGCCTTATTGTCTCTCTGTAAGTTAGTGTACACAGTGTCAAGCCCTTACCTCTCTCTAAATGTGCAATTTCAAGAAGTTAAATGAATAAAGGATTGTTGGGGGTGGAGTAGATCTGGACAAGGAGGAGGAGTCAAGATAAATGCAAGTAGGGAGGGGCAGTAAAAGCAAAAGAAAAACATTTTGAGCAGAATATTCCAGAAGCCTTGAGAGAGAAGTTTGTGAGTATAGCCTTTCCATTGATTTGAGATCTGCTGAGGGAATGGTATGGTAGAAGGGAAAACCTATCATGGCAGCAGACTCGCCAAGCTATAAAAGAAGAAAGCAAAGATGAGAAGAAATTTAGAAGAAAGTGAAGAAAGCCCCAAGCTACTAACATATGGCTGCAGTGCTCATTTGATGTCTTCCTAATGTAGTGTGGCAGAAATATCCTCCAAATGCTCATGATTAATCTAGCAAATTGGAGATAGTTCACCTCCTAGTGACTTCACAAGTATCTGCTTCAATTAGCTTTGGTAAATAAAATAACCAAATCCTAATTGAGTTTTCTTATGTAGCTGCAAAATTAATCTGAAAAATATAAAAATAAATCACTGCTTTAAAGTGTATAGTATGTACCTTCTAAAAATGAAACGTACATCTATCTCCGAGTTGTGATTAATATGTATTAAGGTTATATCAAACAACAAGGATGCACCTTTTGTAGAAAACGGTTATTAAATTGAGGCTTCCTGACCAGTGTTTTAAGTCATGATTTAAATCGGTTTGATTTAAATCAAACGCCCTGATAATATACCTCAGAGTTAACATGTTATCCTTGCTAAACATGGGGATCTGAGAGACAGAAATGAAGTACATGGCCAAGGGTCAGACACAGCCTTAAACCGTGGTGTGTCGCTTATCTTTTGAGTCTCGTGCTGTTGTCTTAAATCCATCCTTTTTTCTTACTTGAACATGAGATTTATTATGTAAGTACTTGGTGCTAATTTTAAGGCAGTCTTTAATATTTACCCAATGTTTACTAGAATATAAAAAAAAAAAAAAAAAAAGCTTTTAAATTAAAGGCTTAGTATCAGAAAATTTTATGGGGAGAGTGGACAGAAGCATGTGTGTGACAGACCCCCACAGGGAACAGAAACAAATTAGTCTGACTTCACAGTCCTTGGACAGCACGACACTTTCAAACCTTCATAAAAGAAGAAAATATCAATAGATAAGTGACTTACCGTTTCTAAAGGTCTCTTAATTGTCTTTTGATAGTATTTATAGAAAAATTTAGATAAGTAAAGCACTAGACGAAAAGATGTTAACTACTGGGGGGCACTGATAAAGATTTTTTGGGCCGCTACTGATGGCTGATTATCAACAAACCATATCAGCAGATACCGATCCAATTGCTGATTTATGCAGCCTGGCAGCTTGGAGAGCAGCATCTGGCTGGTAAGTCTGTTGGAGGGACGGGTTATGGGTGGGGGCAGATCAAGGCCCCCACAATGAGGGAGGGAGTGGGACTGGGGCAGGGGCAGGTGCTGCCTAGGTAAGATGGGGCACAGGATGGACCTGTGAGTGGCTTGTCTGAGGGGAGGGAGGAGGGTGACTCTTGCTACTGCAGGCACCCTCAGGGGAGGCAGGAGGACACATGCCTTCCAGATCTGTGCGCAGGGCAAGGGTGGGCTGCCAGCAGGGATGGTGCCAAGCTGTTTCCAGTGGGGGAGGGGGTTGAGCTGGGGCTGTGTTCAGGGTGAGCAGCAGCACTGGGAGGGGATGTTTGGGGGCAGGAGGACTCTACGGTGAACTTTGGAGTGGCTGTAGCTCCCCCCATCCCCGGTAGCTACCCCTCCCAGTGCCACCGCTGCTGCCTGCCCCGAACTCCCCCTGCCAAGAAGAGCCCAGTGCCGGCCACAGCCTGCAGCAGCACCCCGCACACAGATCCGGGTGGCATACGGCCGCATGCCTCCCCCAGGCATGCGTGCAGCAGCAGGCGCTACCCCCTGGATGAGCTGCTTGTAACTCTGTCCCAGGCCCCTCCCCACCCTGGCTGGGCAGCTCCTGCCTCTGTCCCTATCCCTGTCCCACTCCCTCACTGTGGTGGCCTCGATCTGCTCCTGCCCCCCCCATGTACCTTCCCTCTTCCCACGCCTTCCCCACAACAGACTTACCAGCTGGACACTGCTCTCCAAACTGTTCCAACAGTTTAACATTTCCGTGCCTCAGTTTACAATAGATAAAATGAATATGATCTTGCAATCCTAAGGGGTTGGGAAGAGAGTTGTATGTGTAAATTCATTTAGTGATGGCAATCATATATTGAATCAGAAGTTCTTTCTCTGAAGATGAAATAGATTTGATTAAAGGAATAAGGACATTTCTTTTGCCGCCTGGTCCTCCCATCCCCCTGCCGCTAAATTTTCTCCAGAGAATAAGTTCATAAAAGATTTCAGTTCAATGTAATAGGTCATGATTTGATAACTGCAGGCATTTTGAATACATTGGGCCACATTTTAACTTTGCTTTCCCAAGTAACCTTGTAAATGTTTCAGATGCAACTGTTCACACACATTTACCTGAAACCAAGTTGACTGAATTAAAGGAGACCCCCCTCCAGTAATTCTATATAGATATATATTACAAATTTGTTATAATCTTAATTATCTCCCCTCCTCTTCTCCCTCCTACTGCTGTGGCAGGGAAGACAGTAGCGGGGGGAAGGGGGAAGGAGACGCCAGACCCCTACCCCTTGTCCCACTGCCATGTGCCCTGCTGCCACGTGCCCCTCTGCCACCTGTCCCTCTGTGCCTGTCTGCCCCTCTGCACCCTGCTCCGTTCCCTACAACCCCACCTTTCCTCCCCTTCAACTTCTGCTGCAGCTATGCTTCAGATTGGTGCAGTCAGCAGCAGTGGTGGCCCTGGTCTGGCCTCAGCTCAGCCTAGCCAGGGAGAAGTGGCAGCAGCTGAGTTGGTATTTGAATCCAAGATGCTGAATCCAGGTGCTGATTGGGGATGGGGAAAGGTAGCTCATCTTGGATTCGAGTAAATATGATAGTTAGTTGACCTGTATTTACATAGGTACACTTTTTTAAATTGGAAAAAAGCCTGCTAACAGACATGTTTGATACGTAGACTAGATGGTGTGTGTGATTAAAGTTTTGTTCTACAACAGAGGTACTCTACTTTTTGGCCCTGTGGGCCAGATGAATGGTGTGGGGCCAGCCCATGGATCGGAGCAGGTCCTGTCCCTGTGGTCCCCCATAGGTAGGCCAGATAACATGCAGGGATATGTTATCTGGCCCACAGGACTCCCCATGGATTCAAAAATTTGGCAGCAAGGGGGTGGCAGTTGCTGCCATTGCTTTCCCTCTGCCAAATATCTGGACCTGTAGGAAGTCCCACAGGCTGGACGACACTGCTTTGAGCACCCCTGACCTACAAGTCTCTGTTAAAAATATTGACATGAATGTGGGTAGTTCATAACGATTTCCCTGAGTTTGAACTAGACCAGGGGTGGGCAAAATATGGTCCACTGGCTGGATCCGGCCTTGCAACTGATTGGATCCAGCTCATGGGTGGGTACTCTCAAATGAACTGTATCCAGCCTGAAGTGCTCTGCATGGAGCCAAACCTGCCCAAGGCAGCCCACACTGCACTTCCACCCATGCCAGCTCCCACATAGCTTCTTGGTGGGGCTGCTTCTGCCTGGGTACTGCTCAGCTTCCCCTGTCTCCAGTGACAGCTCTTCCTCCTCCTGCCCTTCCTGCACCGCTTCAGGGAGTAGGCAGTGGAGGGAAGCTGTCGGGGCACATGCCAGGCAGCAGATGCCCAGCCAGGTAGGGGGAAGCTGCAGCTGGGCAGCTCCTGCCCCAGCATGCAAGGCTCTAGCTCCCAGTTGCCTTCCACCCACTTGGCCGCCGGCAGGTGGCTACTGATTATGTTGAGCAGGTAGGGTAGGTTGAAAATGGCTGAGAGCTGGAGCTCTGAGTGCTGGGGCAGGCACCACCTGACTGCAGTTTCCCCCTGCTCAGAGCAGCTCAGCAGGGGCAGGGGGAGGAGGAGGAGCCACTGAGGTGGGGGGAGCTGAACAGCAGCTAAACTGTACTGGGAGCAGCCCTGATGGGAAGCTGTGAATACTGGCTGGGGCTGGCAGGTGCAGCATGGGCTGTTCTGGGTACGAGCTGGTGGGCCTTGGCCCCATATGCAGCACAGTGGGGGCAGCTGCAAACTGGATGGGGGACGGGGGCACGGACTGCACCTGCACTGCCTGAGTGAGCTCTGCTGCAAATGCTCCTGGCCCTCCTCTCTTCCTCGCTCTTCCCCCCACTCCCAGCTGGTTCCCTGGACTTAGTGCAGGGGCAGGCAGTTATTTTGGGTGGAGGGCTGGTTACTGAGTTTTGGCAAGCTGTCGAGGGCAGAAAGGGTAGCCCTGCCCCTTGACAGGTGCCCTGCCCCCAGGTCACCATCCTGGGATGAGAAGTTCCTCCCCTAACCCTTGACCTTTGCCACCAGAATTCCCTCCCCTTACCTCTCCAGAAGTACTCCTTTCAGCAAGGATTTGCCATCTCGGAACCTGAAAAATACCAAATTATATTCTAAAAATCAACCGCCTACTACAACATTCATTAATTTGATTTAAAAAAAAAAATTTTGTCCTGATTTACATGTGTTTGTGTAGTGTACCTAGAGGTGATTGCACAATAGCTTAAAATTAAGTCTTACTCTTGTATATTGTGGGTGGGTGGGTATAGGTTTGCAGGGTGTGGGGGAGGGTGTTGTTTGTGTGTGTGTTTTGTGGGACAATGGATAGGTGCGGGATGAGGGATCATGGGGTTTGTGGGGAGCTGTGAGTGTGTGGGGGAAGGTTGGCTGGGGAGGGTTGTGGCATGTGTGGAAGGGGAGGATTTACTCGTAGAGCCCCTCCAGTGCTCCTCCAAGCCCCGGCTTCATGCTCCTGCCACTCCTGTTCCCAGGGCACCAGTGTGGCCCCGTGGTGCCGCTTGCTGCCCTTCTGCTTCCCTGTCCCTCTGTCGCTCTGGCACCATGTCCTAGCTGTATGGCAGAGACTGCAGGATGCAGCAGGAGCTGGACTGGCCTAGCCAGCACTGCATGGAGCCAGCTGAGAATTTCTGGGGCCAGCTGGCACCTGCTGTGTCCTGTGGCCCTGTGCTGCAGCTGGGAACTACGTGGTGCCAGAGCAACCAGTAGGGGGTGGAGGGAAGCAGTGGCAGTGGTGGGCAAATGGCTGGGGC